CACCTGCGCCCGGTCCCGCGGGCCAGCCCGGCTCCTGCGCGCGGCCCGCATCCCCTGCGGGGCGGCGTCCAGCCGGGTGGGTGTGCGTTGGGCGCGGCGGGGTCCAGCGACTGACGGGTTTGCGCCGGGGCCCAGGCGCATCCTCTGGCGCTCGCTGCGGAGGAGCCGGCAGGCATTGTCCTGCTGCTAAAATTGAAGAAGGACCCAAGTGAGCACTGCCGGGCACTGCAAAACCCCCCAAAAGCCCTGGCTTAGGGTGATGAATTACTAAACGGCTCTATTTCAGCAGTCGCACCCGGATCTGTAGCAACAGCATGCTGAACGTTTCTGTATGCTCATCTTCACAACTTCAGCCCTGCTTCTTGGCATTTAACGATGACATTTTGCACATCAAACACCTGACAAGCTCCCGAGGCAGCAGTGATTACTATTATTATTTTCTTAATGCCTAGAAACTCCCGCGTGTGAGTGGGGCTCCTGTGTTATAGAAACCGTAAGCTCACGCTGGGGCAGGAGGAGCCCGGCCCATCTCAGCGATGCTTACGTGTTCAGCAAACAGGGTCGGGGCCGAGCGTGGCACAGAGGTGAAGGGGCTCGGCCAACGCTAGGAAAACTGGTCAGTGGCAGAGCGAGGGAGTCGGTGGCAGAGTCCGCTGACCGGTGTTGCCTCCCTTCTCCAACTCTGGCAGGCTCCGATGAGATTTGTATCCGAGCCCTGGGTTGGATTTTGCAAACAAACCCTCGTGCAATATCTGCGGAGAAGCAGAAGCAAACGGCCCCTGCTCAAGGAGCCGGTAGTTTAGAAGCTGGCCAGAGATTACGGCGAGTCTATAGGAAGCACTGGTGCTTCAAAATAATGCCACTGATTTATTCTTCTAGCTGGTTTTACGCTTAAAGCTCTAGGCAGTAGGAGAGGCATCGCCGTGCTGTCCATGGGGGGCTCAGGGGGCACGTGGGCTTCCTGCAGCTCCTCCACGCACAGATTAATTTAACGTCACGCACCGGCCGTGTAGCGTTGCTGCTTTTTACCAACGAGGATTTCAAAAGCGCCAACTTAGGAGCCCAGGCCGCGTTCCCCGACAGCTCCAGCAGTCGAAAGGCAGGGGACTAGGTGTCTTTACACCCTGATTCATTATCTTTTCTTTTTTGCTTATCTCTTCTCTCAGCTGCCCCCGGGGTGCCTGGGTCGCCTGTCGACATCGGCCGAGGCTTCCAGCCTGAGAGGAGCGTGCGACGGTGGCGTCAACGCTCATCGCATGCGAGGGAGACCCGAAATATCTCCTCTCTGAACCCTGCCTCCTTTTGGGTTGGCCCGCCGGCTCTCGAGATGCCCAAACTCAGGTAACGCTGCACGCACATGAAGGGATTACCCTTCATATAGGTCACTAATCTCTCGACACACGGGCTCGAAAGCCTGTGCCAAGGAAAGAAAAGCTGAAAGGGAAGCAAAGATAGTGGACACAATGGTGAGGCCGCCAGGCACTTAATCAGCCTCCTCTCTGCTTTGTCTGCGTACGCTCAGCACCAGATAGGGATCAATGCATCTCGGCTGAGAAAATACACTCGCACGCTGTAAAAGGGACCAGTGTCTGCGAGAGACGGGGGATCAGGTCTCTCTGGGGGAAGCGCAAAGCTCGAAGCACTGCGTACATTAGTCGCCCCGGTTTTACAACCCGCAGTAATTCCCTCCCTTGATTTCTCCCCCTTCATGTTGCAAATAAAAAGCAACCTTCGTTTGCTCCGGCCGGCCTCTCTAGTTACCATCTGTTTTATATTTTTCCAGTCTCACCTTACGCCAGGACGTCTTCCGTAAATCCGTCCGCACTTCTCGACTCGGACCCCGAGCGCCGGCGGGAAGGGAAGGGGAGCGGGGAGCACCCACAGCCTGGCAGAAACGGAGCCGCTGCTTGCGAGAGCTGCAGGGCGGCAGGTGAGTCTCGGCTGCTGGCTCTCAAGTGCCAAGAAAACTGCCCCTTAAGCCTTTCCTTCCTTGCACTTCCCTGCTTTTCTCGAAGCCCCCAGTACTCGACTTCCCCCGGGGACGTGTCCCCACCTGCTCGGTGGTCAAAGGTGCGTGCGGCAGCGGAGAGCAAAGGCTTTGTGTCTGCCCCTAACCCCATCTCTCTCAGATTTTGACTGCATCACAGATGTGAAGCCATGCACTCAGTGCCAGGGGAATTGCTTCACGCAGGTCGCTTCAGGTTTCTTCATTAGCTACTACGGACAGCTTTCAAACGCACCTTCTAATTAGCCGGCTCATGGCCTGCAATGTAAGAGTGGAGATTTGCAGCCTGCATTGTGGAGGAGGATGGTTGAGCGAGTGATAAGTGATAACGATCACTTCTTGGCCTTAACCTATACAAGTCCTCCCAGAGCGTATCAGGCACAGCATCTCCCAGCTTTGCTCCACGCGAGCTCCAGTGACGGCCACGAGTCAAAATAGGTGTATAAGCATGGCTCTCCCCAGTCAGGGGCTGCAGCCCCCTGACCCCATACGATGCAAAGTAAAGGACGGGGAGGAGCGTGGGAGCAAAAAAAAAAAAAAAAAAAAAAA